CAATACCAAGTTTGTCCAGCCACCTGAACAGTGTACACTTTCAAAAGGCGGTGTCGATGTTGCATTTGAATGTAAGTCCCTGTTATTTTATTAAACAAACGTTCTTACAACGGAAGGCAGATCTTATCTTGGGCTACTTATTTCGTAAATATCATTTACCATCAGTGTTCATTATGCGAGTTCGGGGCAGTGGGGTAGCCTAGTGATTAAAGCGTTCGCTCGTCACGCAGAAGACCCGGGTTTTATTCCACACATGGGTACAATGTGTGAAACCCATTTCTGGTGTCCCCCGCCGTGATATTGCTGGAATATTGCTAAAAGCGGCGTTATACAGAACTCACTCACTCACTCACTCACTCATAATGCAAGTATAGTTGACTCGCGTACACAGTGGATACTGGTTATATTCAGCTCATGTTTTACGCACAAAAACCCAGCGACGTATCTGTCGGACATCCCCGGGGCACCACCAGGAGAAGAGGAGGACGTCTCTCCCAGCCAGATTGGGGTATGTGGGTTTGTGCGTCTTGCCACACCCAACCCTGTCTGTATATAACTGACCAGTGTGTCCATCAACTTGGTATCGGTAAAATTAGACAGGTGTGCAGTTCGGTCACTGGTGTAGTATCTGTAACAAACAAGGATAGGTTTGACAGTGTTTATCATCTTCCTTGTCAAGTTGGAAATATTGCAAACAAATAAAACATGCTATCGTTCTCAGTAGCATGACTTGTTTATACAAGCAGCCACGCCTGCCATGATGAACTTCAACGATTGATGATAAAAGGCTATATTTCAGAAGGTCATTTTCATGTAACAAATGTGGACTCCAGTAATTAGACATTAATTAGTTGATCTTTCAGTAAGTCAAGGACACATTAAATGGAACTGTATAAAAGTATGAAAGTAATAAGATTAGAATATTTAACCATACACGTATTTGAGCAATATCGAACAATTCATAAATATCAAATATAACTGCACGTACTGGTGAAAGGTTATTCTGTCCACAGCTCTGTCTCCTCCTGCTGCGAAGTAACTGAGGAAGCAAAGAAGAATGATATATATATATATACATATATAACGTTTTAAACATTGTAAACTGCGGTCAAGATTCCCACACAGACCGATGCTGGATGTTCTAAGTAAACATAAACAGTTCACCGCTGGTCCTGATGTAATAGAAAGTGTCATACCTTGGTCCATCAACAGCCTTAATAATGCAATTGTTAAGGTTAGCACCAACAAGAAAGCCAATATTACCGCTATTTAAAGCGGGAATTCGGGTTGCTTGGACTTGTTTGACCCAGAATATCTGCTAGTCGAAAGCCAATTAATGTCGAATGAACCGTAAGCCCACGCACCCACTTTGACGTCACTGGACAACAGAACTGATAGTGGCCTGTCGTTAAGGTTGAGCGGTCCAATATCATTTGCAGCGGCCCGCAAATTTCTGATAATGGGAGGGCCGTTTCATGATAATTCCATGTATTTTAGCTATAATGTTTCTTATGCACTGACAAAACGATATGCTATAGTGTCATACGTCTCACTGATGTACTCACTCAGCAACGAATGCGCTTGATCGACCTACGTTCACGTCAGGTCCAATTACTAGTGTTGACTCATACCCGGGTGTCGATCGGAGCAACTTCTTGAAGTTGTAGACGTCCATACCCAACTGACTGGAACTCACAGTGATGTTATATGTGCCAGGGAATAAGTCAGCTTCTGTAGTGAGTGAGTGAGTTTAGTTTAGTTTTATGCCGCACTCAGCAATATTCCACCTATATGGCGGCGGTCTGTAAATAATCGGATCTGGACCAGACAATTCTTGGATCAACAGCATGAACATCAATCTACACAATTGGGAACCGATGACATGTGTCAACCCAGTCAGCGAGCCTGACCATGCGCATCTTCACGGGTTCGGCTTCTGTAATAATTAACACTTTATGAGAACATATGAAGAACTGTCGTTATTAAGTCATACATAATAGTAGGAACTGTACTTTGATTATAAAATGAAGTGGAACATTAAAAGTTATGAGTCTTGCACATTGTTTTACACATTGTATTTAATTTTGCATGTTAAATTCGAGTCATTTTACGGAAGTAACATGGTAAATTTCTGTCATATGTTTCCATGCATGGTTATATTGATACCATTTCCGAGTTCAAGGCCTGCCAGTTGGTACCCCTTCGCACTGTTGTATTGCAGCAGTTCTTTGGCGTTGGTAGGATCCCAGTGACCATCCTTCCTCTTCAGTACGTTCAGACCAAATATAAACTTCCAGTTGACATCCCGGACAAATGTATTAACAGCATCCCAGGTAGCTCCTGCAGACACAACATACTTAACTACAGTGAGATCACCAAATATATTTACTGTTCAAATTAAATCCTCGTCCCCCCAAAACAACTGTATAGGCCTTCTAGATATACACATGTGCAATACCATAGCTGGACAAACTATATAGTATATATGTATTATAAATCGATTAACGCACCTGTATATACACGGTTGCTATCTACTGTGCCATAATCTGTAGGGACAAAGGTCACGTTGTCACCCTCAGTTCCTCCAATCCTCAGATAGCATGGAGACAAACCTTTAGCCAGGGCCTGAACTTTTTCAGAGCTGGAGGTAAACAACAACGAGATACAGGGACAATCTTTATAGTAAGTTACCATCTTTATGTATATTGGCATCGAGGCAGAATCAACGAACTGAAGCACTTACAATGTATTTGCAGACAACATACCAAAACAGAAATGGCATTATGCATTGACATGCATTACGGTTTTGTGCTAAACGGTTTGCAAACCATTGTTCTTACAGACACCTTCAAATTTGAACTAGTTTGCTTGAAATGATTAGTTTGATTAGGTTTTTCTGTCTGTATTTTATAATGATTTAAAAACATGTAAATTTGATACAGACGTGCCCCAGAGCGCAAATAGAGTACACTATGGTTTTGTTCTCAAAATGACTCCCAATTTTAGTTCGTTATGACTGTAGTTTGTTACATGCAGTCTGTTACATGCAGTTCGTTACATGCAGTTCGTTACATGTAGTTCGTTTCGACTAGAAAATTCAGGCGGTGGCTGGAACAAAAACCAAACACGTCGATGTATTTGTTAGTTCTATATAAACGTAGTTTACTGTACGAGTGTGTTCAGAAAACGCATTATGAAGTTCAAATGAACAGAATTTTCAGTAACTTGAAGTCTATTGGTGGCCTACTTACTTGAAGTCTAATCGTCCCCAATGCCGTTGGGTGGGCAGTAGACTGGACTCCAGTGTTACGCCAACAAACAAGTCATCAATAAATGAAACTGTTTGTGTTGTTGAAACTGTGACATTAACATTGACTACTCCCGCTGTGTGGAATATGAAGGTGGTGACCAGGAGGAGAGTATATAACATCACGCACTTATATTACATCACGCACTTACATAACATACCTTACACGTGATTAGACTAGGAGTGCCAACCTTGAACAGGCCCATGCTGGTGTATTAATGAAGAAAAAATAGCTTATTTTACACGCACTTTCAGCAACAAGGTGACACAATGGCATATTAACAAAAACTATATCGAGCGTAATCCGTGTTGTACATGCGGATTATCGTTGTTACCTTCAGATACCTTAGGGTAAAGATGTATTGATGCCTTCAGGTCTTGCTCTCAGAGTAATGCAGATACTGATTTGCATACAGCATATTTCAGGTCCTATGGGCCACGATGCAGTTGGTTTTACATTCGTGAGTTAATCACGTAAATTTATAACCCGGTTTATAAGAGAACAAAAATCAAGATGGTATGACTTTCACTGAAATCTTGGTGACAGGAGCACATTCATGTATACCTAACATGATGTGGAAGGTAAACACCTACGTATAACTGAATTTAATAACAAAATAACAAATACCTGAATCAACACAACAGAAATGGAATAATGCATTTACATACATTACGTTTCTTTGCTTAACGATTTGGACAGAACGTTCTTACAGACATCTGCTGACATGAACTAGTTTGTTTGAAGTGGTTAGCTTGATTAGGTTCCTCTGTCTGTATTTGTCAGTGATATTCAAAAATGAGGATTTGACATATGACGTGCCCAAGAGCGTAAATAGAGTGCACTATGTTTTTTCTCAAAGAGACCACATATTTAAGTTCGTGACATATAGTTCGTTACATGTAGTTCGTGACATATAGTTCGTTACATGCAGTTCGTTACATATAGTTCGTTACATGTAGTTCGTTAAATATAGTTCGTTACATATAGTTCGTTACATGTAGTTCGTTACATGTAGTTCGTTACATGTAGTTCGTTACATATAGTTCGTTACATGCAGTTCGTTACATGTAGTTCGTTACATGTAGTTCGCTACATGTAGTTTGTCACATATAGTTCGTTACATATAGTTCGCTACATGTAGTTCGTTACATAGAGTTCGTTACATGGAGTTCGTTACATATAGTTCGTTACATGTAGTTCGTCACATGAAGTTCGTTACATATAGTTCGTTACATGTAGTTCGGTACATGTAGTTCGTTACATGTTGTTCGTCACATGTAGTTCGTTACATGGAGTTCGTTACATGTAGTTCGTTACATATAGTTCGTTACATGTAGTTCGTCACATGTAGTTCGCTACATGTAGTTCGTTACATGGAGTTCGTTACATGTAGTTCGTTACATGTTGTTCGTTACATGTTGTTCGTTACATCTAGTTCGTTACATGTAGTTCGTTACATGTAGTTCGTTACATATAGTTCGTTACATGTAGTTCGTTACATGTAGTTCGTTACATGTAGTTCGTTTCGGCTAAATAATACAGACGGTGGCTGGAACAAACAACACACAAACACTTCGATGTATTGGTTAGTCCGTTATAAACATAGTTTACTGTGTGAGCGTTGTGAATACAAATTAAGAACTTCAAATGAACAGAGTTTTCGTCTATTGACGATCACCTTGACCTACTTACTTGAAGTCCAGTCCTTTCCAGTGCTGTGAGGTGGGCAGTAGACCGGAGTCCAGTGTTACGCCAACAAACAAGTCATCAATAATTGAAACTGCTTGTGTTGTTGAAACTGTGACATTAACATGGACTACTCCCGCTGTGTGGGATATGAAGGTGGTGACCAGGAGGAGAGTTGACAGCGTTACCTTCATCTTCTCAGATTGCTCTCATGTGAATGTATTCCACGATTAATCTGAGATCTGGTGTGGTTTTATATAGACTGTGTTTATCTACAGATTTGAAAAATATCAATAACAATACGCACTTATATAACATCACTCACTTATGTAATATCACGCACTTATATAACATACTTTACACGTGATAAGCATGACATTCATTATCTCAGGATTTTCTTATCTGAATGTATGTCACATGTACTCTGCACTTATCTGAGGTGGTCTTACATGCATATAGGCTGTGTAGCATCACTAATGTGTATCATGTTGTGTCGTCATAAGCAAATAGTGCTATTTATATTAATATATATATATTGTGTTGTGAGGTTATTGATACAAAAGTCACGTTGTTTGTATCGTTATAGGTACATGTTGTCTTGTGTCATTACTGACACTTATACGTGGTTTATCTTTCATATATGTGTTGTGCCATTATTGATACATGTCGTGCTGTATCATCTGTGATACATATTGTGTAGTTATATTATTGAACATATAGTGTTGTGCCATCATTGATACATGTCGTTCTGTGTCATCTGTGATACATATTGTGTAGTTATATTATTGAACATATAGTGTTGTGCCATCATTGATACATGTCGTGCTGTGTCATCTGTGATACATATTGTGTAGTTATATTATTGAACATATAGTGTTGTGCCATCATTGATACATCATCTGTGATAGTTAGTTATATTATTGAACATATAGTGTTGTGCCATCATTGATACATGTCGTTCTGTGTCATCTGTGATACATATTGTGTAGTTATATTATTGAACATATAGTGTTGTGCCATCATTGATACATGTCGTGCTGTGTCATCTGTGATACATATTGTGTAGTTATATTATTGAACATATAGTGTTGTGCCATCATTGATACATGTCGTGCTGTGTCATCTGTGATACATATTGTGTACTTATATTATTGAACATATAGTGTTGTGCCATCATTGATACATGTCGTGCTGTGTCATCTGTGATACATATTGTGTAGTTATATTATTGAACATATTGTGTTGTGCCATCATTGATACATGTCGTGCTCTGTCTTCTGTGATACATATTGTGTTGCTTCTTAATTGAACATATTGTGTAGTTTTATTATTGAACATATAGTATTGTGCCATCATTGATACATGTCGTGTTGTCTTGTCTATGATACATATTGAGTTTTTTCATCACTGAAGATATTATGTTGTGTCAAGACTGATCACATTATGGTGTGTCGGCAGAGTTACATAACGTGCTGTGCCGATATAAATGCACACATAGTTTTGTCATCATTGAAACATATCCTGCCTGTGCAGTTTTGAATCATATAGGGGGCGGTGGGGTTGCCTAATGGTTAAAGCGTTGGCTCGTCACGCCGAAGACCCGGGTTCGAATCCCCACATGGGTACAATGTGTGAAGCCTATTTCTGGTGTCCCCCGCCGTGATGTTGCTGGAATATTGCTAAAAGCGGCGTAAAACCAAACTCAGTCAGTCAGTCAGTTGAATCATAATGTGCCCGTCTCGACTAGTCTATTGAGGTTGGCACTCTTGCTTTATTACGCACTTTTAACCCATACCTTATATGTGATGAGACGGTGAGTTTCAGGCATGAACGAGTCCGTGTTTGTGTCTTAATGAAGAATAAATTGCTGGTTATATATACACATACTTTCAGCAACAAGGTTACACAATGACATATGTAACGACACATATTTCGAATGTAATCGGTGGTGTACATGCGGCTTATCATTGTTACCTTCAGATACCTTGTGGTAAAGATGTTTTGAAGCCTTTAGTTCTTGCTCTCAGTGTAATGCAGATAATGATTTGTATACAACATATTTCAGGCCATATGGGATCCGATGCAGTTAGTTTTACATTCGTGAGTTAATCAATTTAAAAGCTGGTTTAAAAAAGGAAAAATTCAGGTGGTATGACCTTCATTGAAATCTTGGGTGCACAGTCGTGTACCCCGTGTATATCTGAAATAATGTGAACGGTAAACATCTAAGTATAAATGTATTCCATTAAAAAATAACAAATCAAGAATACACATTCAGATTTATTTTCATAGCAAGTGCAAATTCTCCTGAATCATTCTGTGAACATCATCACTGGCTACTGCAGGCAGCCACGTCAGCCTCAGGGAAGACGAGGAACCCGAATGACTTCCCGGGGAAGGTAACAGTGTTTCTTCCCGTCCTGTAAGGTTTCAGCTCCGGCAGCGTATTATTGACAAGTTTTAGCGGGTTGTTGTTCAAGGCCACGGTCCTGAAATGGTGAAGACTGATTATGAACTTTACATGATAATTGTATATTGTATTTTTCCTGAATCATATTTGCATGTAGAAATAATAAGTGTTATTATGGCAGCTCATTCATCACGTTTCAACTGATTTTCTGTGGTTTTCCAGAAGAAACTTCTCAGTTAAATTTATCACCTGTAACATCAGTCTACACTCTCGTTGTGGAAATTCCCAGGTAATGAGTTTACCAATTGGTGTGAACCAGAAAGCGTTTGGAGGTTGGCTGGTAGAATTACTTGCTAGTGAGTCCATCGACTGGCGTCAGCCAGAACACATCTACAGGTTGGTTGGGAAATTGTGGAAACGTAATGGAGGTAGTGTTATCCGTGGGCAGCAGGAAGTACATCGTCACGCTTCCGGGCCCGTAGCCATAGGAACTAAAACACAACACTTTATATTAGAGGACCGTTTCCCTTGACTAAATATGTATCTGAACCTATAACGTTTTACTCCTATATTCTGTATTGATTATGTTCATTCTAACTATCTATAGACGTGTATAATAAGGAATGAAAATGGGAACATTAGATTCATATTATAAATATCTCATGAGAAAGATTTATATCGACATATAGTTAAACTTGCGAATTTGCAATTTACAAGGATGGCTTTGTGCAGTGGGCGTAGGCTCTGATGGTGCTGTTGTCCACGCTCGCCTCCACAGAAAACACGGCGTCCCCCACCAGTCTCTTGTACAGGACAGTTGACCAGTAGTCCTGCAGTAGAAGACATGAATAAAACAAACTCATAAACTGTCATTAACATATATGTAAAGATAAGATAATTCTTTATTGTCCCAAGGGAAATTTGTTTTGCATCATACGTTCTCCAGTTTTTCATTCATAAAGCAGCCATACATAACACTGCAATTGGTAAAGATACAGCAAAGGTACAATTCACTACAACTATGTTTTGCTGCGCTAAATATTCACTTCAACATATCGCTCAAAATGTTGTAACATTTTCCGAAAATGTGTCTTTGAAGAGGCCGATCTGAAATATCTATATGTATTCAACTCAGTATTACAGCTCAGTCAGTGTGTGGATGTTTCATTTGTTGGATGCCATCTGCATTCTTATTTCCATTTTGAGAAAAACATTATCTTCTACCGTTACCGTTATCTCATGTACTGCACTGCTAACTGTGGTGCCACTGAGTGCTACCGACGTCTTTATGACCTAGAAGGCCAGGTTGTATAAGACCAGGTTACATAAGGCCAGGTTATATAAGACCAGGTTACATAAAGCCAGGTTATATAAGATCAGGTTATATATGGCCAGGTTATATAAGATCAGGCTATATAAGGCCAGGTTATATAAGGCCAGGTTATATAGGGCCAGGTTATATAGGGCCAGGTTATATAATGCCAGGTTATATAATGCCAGGTTATATAAGTCTAGGTTATATAAGACCAGGTTATATAGGGCCAGGTTATATAAGGCCAGGTTATATAAGACAAGGTTATATAAGGCCAGGTTATATAAGACCAGGTTATATAGGGCCAGGTTATATAAGACCAGGTTACATAAAGCCAGGTTATATAAGTTTAGGTTATATATGGCCAGGTTATATAAGACCAGGTTACATAAAGCCAGGTTATATAAGACCAGGTTACATAAGTTCAGGTTATATAAGACCAGGTTACATAAAGTCAGGTTATATAAGATCAGGTTATATATGGCCAGGTTATATTAGGCCAGGTTATATACGACCAGGTTATATAAGACAAGGTTATATAAGACGAGGTTATATACGGTCAGGTAATATAAGGCTAGGTTATATAGGGCCAGGTTATATAAGACCAGGTTATATATGGTCAGGTTATATAAGATCAGGCTATATAAGGCCAGGTTATATAAGGCCAGGTTATATAGGGCCAGGTTATATAGGGCCAGGTTATATAATGCCAGGTTATATAATGCCAGGTTATATAAGTCTAGGTTATATAAGACCAGGTTATATAGGGCCAGGTTATATAAGGCCAGGTTATATAAGGCCAGGTTATATAAGACAAGGTTATATAAGGCCAGGTTATATAAGACCAGGTTATATAGGGCCAGGTTATATAAGACCAGGTTACATAAAGCCAGGTTATATAAGTTTAGGTTATATATGGCCAGGTTATATAAGACCAGGTTACATAAAGCCAGGTTATATAAGACCAGGTTACATAAGTTCAGGTTATATAAGACCAGGTTACATAAAGTCAGGTTATATAAGATCAGGTTATATATGGCCAGGTTATATTAGACCAGGTTATATACGACCAGGTTATATAAGACAAGGTTATATAAGACGAGGTTATATACGGTCAGGTAATATAAGGCTAGGTTATATAGGGCCAGGTTATATAAGACCAGGTTATATATGGTCAGGTTATATAAGATCAGGCTATATAAGGCCAGGTTATATAAGGCTAGGTTATATAAGGCCAGGGTATATACGGCCAGGTTATATAAGACCAGGTTATATAAGATCAGGTTATATAAGACCAGGTTATATAAGGCTAGGTTATATAAGGCCAGGTTGTATACGGCCAGGTTATATAAGACCAGGTTATATAAGGCAAGGTTATATAAGGCCAGGTTATATAAGACGAGGTTATATAGGGTCAGGTTATATAAGACCAGGTTATATAAGGCTAGGTTTTATAAGGCCAGATTATATACGACCAGGTTATATATGGCCAGGTTATATAAGGCCAGGTTATATAAGGTCAGGTTAGTGAGTGAGTATTGCGAAATGCCGCATCAGGAACCTTGCCACATCAATCACAACATATGTGACTATTACTATATCTGTTTTATTTATGAAGTCAGTCAGGACTATACTTTTGATCGTGAGTCACTCATAACTAACATATTAAAAACGTTCATACTGGAGAATATCTAGGCTTGATTTTCAAACAGATGTCATTTTGCCTAAAGGCCATAGAGCGATGGATCTTTATCAGGGTAATTTGTTTAGATGACCGAATTATGTTTTGTCTTGTCCTAATAATAAAAGATCGCAAAATTTATTATGAATTATATTTTCGTGTTTCTGGTCATATTCTACAAAGTAAATAGGAGTTATGAAATCTCCCATTTGCCCCAGTGAAATTCAATAAACGTAGGAGAATGACAAATATCAGAAAAGCATTAGTTTCCGGTGACTTTTTCTCGTCCCACACTGACCAAGCAAGAGATTAGTGCTCGATGTGACCCGGCTAGGCTACTTTATCAAGTAACAATTAAATTGGTACAATGCACATTCACAGTAAATTGGAAAATGTAAGAGCATTCACAAGCCTAAAAGCACATGGCAGGATATGAACACACATACACCTATGGAAATTAAATGAAATGTCAAAGAACCTATTTTGGTAGTAAGTTTAGTAGTAAGTTCTAATATGCTTGCTTACTCAACTCCATTGTATACAAATCATTGTTACAGAGTTGAGTCATCTAGAAAACTTTCTTTCAGTGCTTAATACATTTCACACAGTTCCACAGAAAACATATTCAGTGAAGTGGCAACGGAAGAGAGGCAAGGATAATGAGCTGTGAGCAACTTAGCAAATACACTCAGCAACATACTGTAGCCAGAGCTTTTGTTTATCAAGGGGTTAAAAGCACAGGTGGATGTTATATCTGTGATCTTGGTGCGCTTGACGCTTCCATAACAAATTTCTGTATAACTGAAGCTCAAAATCAGTAAAATTAGAGAATTGTGCAGTGTGAAAATCAGTAATACAACTGTCCAAAAGATGTCGTGTGACTATTGAATCAAGAAAGAAAGAAAGAAAGGGATCGTCTCTATACTCACAGGCAATGGATCAAAGGTGCCATGGTCAATCAGTCCATAGTTTCCGGCGTAGAAATCCTGTCTGAGGACTCCTTTCAATCCCATCCGGGCAGCAATACCAAGTTTGTCCAGCCACCTGAACAGTTTACACTTTCAAAAGATGGTGTAGATGTTCCTTTTGTTGTATTACTAGTACGTTACATAAGTGCTCACAATTAAGGTCAAATCTTATCTTGGAGTTTTACTTCATAAACATCATTTTAGAAAGAATTATTATGAACAGGCATTGTTCATTATTATGCGAATCCAATTGACTAATGTACAAAGTGTACGTGGTATATTTTGTGCTGCTGTCTTACGCACAGAAACCCAGCGACGTATCTGTCGGAGATTCCAGTAGCACCGCTATCATAACAGGAGGACGTCTCTCCCAGCCACACTGGGGTAAGTGGGTTGGTGCGTCGTGTCACATCCAACGCTGTCTGTATAGTAAAGATCAGGTGGTCCATCAACTTGGAATCGGTGAAATTAGAGATTTGTGCAGTATGGCCGTTGGTGTAGTATCTGTACGAAAGGGGAACAGGCCTGATAGTAATGTTTCATCCACCTTATCTGGTTGGAAATATCACACATGAAACATGTAACATATTGAATAAGTACAAGCAAAAATAATTATTCTATTACATGCTTCATGTTATTCCATCATTTAACAAATCTGATGATGAACTTTTAAGATAGATAAAATAGGATTATCTCTGGAAACGATTTCATGTGTAAATGAGCAGGTGGATTCGCATAGATAAAAGAAAGCATTGGTGATGTTTCAGGAGCAACATTCCAAGGTGCAGAGGAACACTTTTATGGATAGACAACTTCGTTATTGCAACAGATGCGACGTTTCTGTGTAGATTTATTGCAATAAAGAAGTTCTATCCATAAAAAGTGTTCCTCCTCATCACACCAGCATCTAAATGCCACTTAAAGGAAAAGAAAATTCCAAGGTGTATAAACAAATTTATCAAAACATTTTAATGCCTACAAATATAATTGGAATGAAATATTTGAACAGGTCAAGTAGACTTGTCATAAAAGTCCACAGCAAACAGTTGAGCAGTTTAGAACATTTCCTAGATACCAAAATCAACCTACTGGTGGAAGGTTATCCTGTCTACGGCTTTGTCCCCGCCTCCTGTGAAGAAACTGGAAACAAGGTGGGGTTAAATTGTGAGTTTGAGGTCTTATGATGTCTCATGTGTTCATGACTATTGTCACTATGATAACCGCTAACATTAAATCAAACTCCACATTCGAAACACCAATCATCAACTGACGAATCCGTAGGGAACTGTTTACAAATGTATATTGAGGTTAATTCTTGCGTCAACGATTTTAAACGGTATAATGCGATATTGCTGAGGTATGTCCACTTCTCGTTAGTAAGTTCATTGACACAACTGTCGGATAAATACACTCACTCAGCAAAAAAACTGGGTTCTTGATCCCGTTACAGACCCCATATCAGGTCCTATTACTGGTGTTTTCTCATACCCTGGCGACGTTTGGAGCAGCTTCTTGAAGTTGTAGAAGTCCATACCCAACTGACTGCCACTCACAGTCATGTTATGTTTCTCAGGGAATATGTCAGGTTCTGTAACAATTAACACTTTCCGGATTGCTTTGTGCTAGAAATTGCATGACATGATATTCTCAAGTCATACGTTATTGTTGGAATTGACAATTGGAACATTTTTCTTTATTGAAGGAAAATGAGTATGAAATAAGGGACAAAAGTGAATTTCTCATTTTTTTTTTAAATGTTCAAATGCAAGGTCAGGGCACATTTTGTTTAATCCAGTTATTATGTGTCTATTGAATTGTATTGAACAAAATAGGCAGTAGCGTTCAATGGCTTGTATCCCTGAATATGGCTAGATGAATAAATGTTAGTTTTTAAAAATATTGAAAAAGAACATGATCAGATTTGCAAAGTTTTGGCACATTTCATGCAATTCGTTATTTTGTATTTGAGTCAATCTAACGAAATAAAATGGTTAAGTTATGTATTCAGCACTATGGTTATATTAATACCATTTCCGAGTTCCAGGCCTGCCAGTTGGTACCCCTTCGCACTGTTGTATTGCAGCAGTTCTTTGGCGTTGGTAGGATCCCAGTGACCACCCTTCCTCTTCAGTACGTTCAGACCAAACATTAACTTCCAGTTGACATTACGGACAAATGTAATAACAGCATCCCAGGTAGCTCCTGCAGACACAACAGGCGTAACGATAATGAGGTCCCATTTGCTTATGATGCTCCAGTATTCGAAGCACATTTTATCCTGACCCCCCAAACCCAACAGTACTGGCCTTCGAGGTATACACGCGTGCAATACCTTGGCTCCACAAATTATATATATACTATTCACACTTTGCTAAGGATCAAATAATTGATTCAACAGAAAACTATGATGTGGGGTTTAAGTTGGTTTAAATATCTAAGCTTCTTGTAAGCATGAATCCTAGGTTTCAGTATGTCATTGCATCTTGTGGAACCCATTCCCGCTATCGCCAGGTGTTGTTTAGTTGTCAGTGACTCGTTCCATGATGTTCAAAATGGTTCATTGGTGCTATGAAAACCATTTTTATGGTTACTCATGTATCAAGTGCATAAGGTTAGATTAAAGTGGCTGTTTGCCTAAAGATGTGTTTCCATATTATTATTTATCCAGTTTCAATTTACAAATCTATGTTTAAGTAAAGTTGGGATTTTTTTTATCCTTAGCAAAGTGTGAGTAGTATATCAATAATAGATTTAAGCACCTGTAATTGCACGGTTTATGTCAGGTAGCCCCTGCAGACACAACAGGTTTAACGATAGTGAGATCACCAATTAGTTAAGATGTTCGAATATTTGGAGCATCTGATATCCTCTTACCTCAGGGATAATAAAAGTCCGGAATTCTCAGATGGATGTCTATACATGCAAAATACCATAGCATGACAAAATGTACAACAGAGAAAAATAGATACACACACCTGTAAATGTATTATTGACATCTGTTGTGCCATGACCTGTAGGGTCAAAGGTCAAACCATCACCTGCAGTTCCGCCAATCCTCAGGTAGCATGGAGCCAAACCTTTAGCCAGGGCCTGAACTTTCTGAGAGCTGAGGGTAGCACATGGTAACATGATTACATAATATGTACATAAATAAGTAAATGAGCACGTTCACCCATCTCCAAGTCGAGGCAGAAACAATGACAAAGTGTTATTTAGTCCAATTTGTCTGAAGGTAGTTGGCTTGACTGAAGTCATTCTATTTCCTTTTATGAAATACACAATGCCATTTTAGAAAGTGGTCAAATGTAACTTTATGTTATATTTGGGATTACACTTTCTTAGTAAAGTACAGATTCTAGTACTTTTTTGGGGTTGAGTCCCATCCGGGATTCGAACCCACACCCTCAGAATCAGGCACCTCATCGCCAGCACGCCTAGTCAGACGCCTAGACCGCTCAGCCACCGCAGCTTCCACCGGACTAGAATCTGTACTTTACTAAGAAAGTGTAATCCCAAATATAACATAAAGTTATATTTCCTTTTACATTTACATTTATATAGCGCTAACATCCAGTAGACTGCTCAAGAGCGCTGCTGAACTCCGTATGCAATGCTAAACAAATGAGTTTTTAATCTGGATTTGAAAGTACTGAATGTCTCTACTGATCGAAGCGAGGGGTAATTTGTTCCACAAAGCTGGGCCGACAACCTGAAAAGACCTTTCACCAAATGTCTTGGTCCGGCTGACTACAGTCTGGCACATGTGTTGTTGTGATCACCTCAGATGGCGTGTTGGTTTATATTCTTGCACAAGGTCTTTTAACAGTGTGCATGAATAAGACAATTAATATAATGGGTCCTGAAAGTGATACTAGAATACAACAGTATCATTTTATTGATTTCAATTACTTTGAAGATGATTTACGTGATTAAGATCCAATTTCTGTTTTTCTCTCGATTATTTGCATCGATAAGATTTGCATAGTATAAGTGTGTCCAAAATACAAATTATAAACAGATGAAAGGAATCTTCAATAATGTGATAGCTGTCGACCTCTGTGTCGATCACCTTGACCTACTTACTTGAAGTCTAATCCTCCCCAGTGCTGCGGGGCGGGCAGGAGATGGGAGTCCAGAGTGACACCAATGAATAATTCATCAATAAATGAAACTGCTTGTGTTGTTAAAACTGTGACACTAACATTGACTGCTCCCGTTGACGTGTGGGATATGAAGGTGGTGACCAAGAGGAGAGCTGACAGCGTTACCTTCATTGTCCCAGGCTTTTTTCTAATGTGAATGTATGTCGCACGTAATCTGTATTTATCTGAGATCTGTATTTATCTGAAGTGATTTCATATAGACTGTGCTGTGTCGCCATTTCAAAATTTTGTGTTTTTAATGAGTAATATCTCGTGAATTGTGACATAACAGCTGACACTCGTCATATTTCGAGTAACCGTACACAGATAGATTGTTGCAAGATAGATCTTACTGTGACACTCCGTCAAATGATCAGCCAAGTTTTAAACCCTGGTCGTACCATTTCATTTCCGTCCAATCGAACGAAAACGATAAGATTCCAGGGACACGTTCTGACCCAAATCCTCATAGGGTTTATCGTTCATAACATTGGTGCAAATGTCCTGTCGAGTGATAGGTCTGTTTGCATCAAGGTTCGTTACATTCATGTTACGGAACGCTTCAGCCGTTTTACCAATTAACTGAAGAGAGACTGTGACAAATCTGCATGACTGTATCTTTCTCAGAAACACAGAAAATGTAATGTCATGGTGTCGACCTTGTAATGTGATGGTGTCGACCTTGTAAGGTTTTGTTTCCTTGACGTGAATTTCTTCTTAACCGACTCAGTGTTTGAAGATGACTATTCAAATTTATTTGGTTATCACAGGTGTTGAATATTTTGGGCATGGTTAGATTCTAAATGCCTCCACGTGTCCACCATAAGCGTTTACTGATTCTTTGAATGCTATAACCGTGATCAAACAACTTATGACTCTCTTGGAAATCTTGACAACATGTCCATGTTCGATTGTACCTTAAACGTTTTGAAATGTAAGTACAAAAGGGTGGAGCTGATGGCAAATTTGTACGGCATGAAGGAAAAGCTGTCTATTGGAAAATGTTTTCTCGTCTTGAGTTTGTTTGTCACTCTGACACTAAATATATAAACACATGAGGTGGTTTCACTTATCTCAAGTTCAGGTAAATTAGTGCAGGGAATTGGCTACTTAACCTGAATGGAAACATAACAGATTCGTACATGAAGCTGTCTCCACTGCCACATTACCTTGTTTTGATTTGCCAACCGGAGCAGAAATGAATATTATGCAGACCAATTGTGAATGAGGACGCAATCCATAATCAAATGATTAATGAAAGCAATTCCCATGATCTTCCTCAGTATCTTTCAGGCGAGATTTGCGTTCATATTTGAAACCCTGAATCCAGCCATTGTTCATAAACCATTGTATTGCATTAAGTTGACCAAAGGACTATACTATAATTAACCACTGAATGACCCTTTACACGTAACATTAATTCGGCATGTTTCCAAATCCTCCAATTATTCAAACATATATCCTCTGATATATGATACATTTTACCAGTTTTCTCCTGGCTCTTCTTGTTTAAAAGTGGACCCTTGTTATCATTGTAATTGTACTGCGATTCAAATATGTATGTTTATTATTTTATTTTTTGCTGTTTTATATGCCAAACCATGAATTAAATTGATTGCGTGTAAGCTCAAATTAATCACGTCCAAGAAAGAGGCGCCTGTCGAGGTGTATAATATCAAATCATGAAAACCAATCGGTGACAATAACATTTTCCCATGTTTGCTCCAGCAGCATCTCAAACAGTCGTATTGGAACCAATGATCGAATGAAGTACTTGATATCTGGACCTATATATAGATAGTTAAGATAAGAAATAATTCTTCCTACGTTCATGTCAAGTTTGTTATCTATGCACGCCACAGCCAGTCCTTGACAGTCAGCACCACAGCCACAACAGGCCAAGCTCGTAATGGTACATACGTTTAGTCCGATTTGGCTCCTAGTGTTACTATGGATACCAGCGTTCACCACGTCACAGCAGCATCAGGTTCATGTGATGATATCTACTGACAAAGTTGTGCATCAAGTTGACGAGATGTTTGTTGGAGTGACCATCGACAGTCATATTCTATGGTTAGGGTTTGACCGACATCATTTGTTTCAGTTAACGTACCTAAATCAGTCTGCTCGGCTGTTGTAAGGGTATTTACATCGTACAGTCATGGCGTCGTAGTGACCTGGGTCATAGGATTGAATCTACTGTGAATACATATATCATGTGTGAGTGAGCGAGCTGGTTATACACTGCTTTAAACACTATTCCAGTAAAATCACAGTATAATGTTAGTGGTAAACCCGACATGATGCAGGCCTAAACCACTGATGCTGACAACATGTATATAATGAAGATAAACTGTGATCGGATCCCAACGTCACAGGATTGTAGAACACCTAAGGGAGGTAACTGTGTACAGGAAATCGGTGCACCTTGTGTGACTAGGTGAACAGTGTCTCTGAATATACATACATTTACTCAAAAAAAGAAGAAACTTGACATACTGTTTTGGAGTTTATTTACTGAGTGCATATATCTGATTCAACATTACATCTTGGTTCAATTACAGAAAGGGGTGGTGGGGTAGCCTAGTGGTTAAAGCGTTGGCTCGTCACGCCGAAGACCCGGGTACGAATCCCCACATGGGCACAATGTGTGAAGCCCATTTCTGGTGTCCCCCGCCGTGATGTTGCTGGAGTATTGCTAAAAGCGGCGTAAAACCAAACTCAGTCAGTCAATTACAGAAAATCATCACTTTACAAATTTCGAAAACATGATTATCCAGAAAGTGTTTGATTATGAGAAGCCTTTTACAAACTTCATAGTTGAGTATGTCGTAATACTACTAAGGGTCGCTAATCCAAATTATAGCGGAAAGACGCTTGTACCACTTGGCGACCCAACCAACATCTAACATAACATTAGGTGTATGTATATTTTACTGTAGCCATGGGCTGTTGGCAAATATATTTGATAATAATTGCATCCCAATTATTAAACAGTTCACCAAATCTACAG